TCATCCAATAATTATAAACAAAATAAAATACAGATTATTATTATTATCAATAATAACACCGGCACACAAAAAAAAAGTTGTCAGTACTTTTGACGGTACCCATATATCCCTATGTATTTCGACCCGCTCAATCCAAATTTGAGGTCAGTTTGACCCGTACACCGTCAAATTTTCGAGAATACTTTGAAAAACCTAAAAAAATGACGATAATCGGCAATTTAGGCGATTTAAAATGATTTAAAAATTTTTTTTTGATCTAAACTAAGCATGATTTTTATGTACTTCGACCCGCTTAATACTTATCTGAAGTTTATTTAGATCATAAGCCATTAAAAGTTTGAGTAAATTCTAAAAAACCCTAAAAAATTGTAAAAAAAAAGCAAAAAATTCCAGATATTGTGTTAAAAAAAATTTTATAAAATTAACTCATTCATGATTCTCATATATTTCGATCCGTCAAATATAAATCTCAAATTGATATGGCTCAGACATCTCTAAAGATCTAAATAAATGGCAAAAAACCACTGAAAATCAAAATAAATCAAGTCCGTTATGATAAAAATCAGTTTTTAATAAAAAATAAAAAATCTTTAAGATGTTATCTGATCTGTGGAACATAAATTTTAAATTTTTTGACCTAAATCCTCAAAAAATTTTAATTCTTAGAAAAAATCTTTTTAAAACCCTTCATTTTTCAATTTTAATTCGTTCTCCGCTTATATCTAACTCTTTTATCTTCAAATGACCTCCATAAAAGGTTTCTCTTTCGCTTTCTTATTTTCTCAGGTAGATCTTTCTTCAGTGTCCAACAATGATCTGCCATCAGATTGATATCCCACTTTCCTTGATAACGATTTTCCATTACCCTCATGTCTCGATGGAATCTTTCGCCTTGCTCTTCACTGTAATCGCCAAGATTTTCAGGAAAGTGTGAAAGATGAGAATCTAAATAGTGCAATTTTGAATTCATCAAGCAACCCAAAGTATCGTAGTTGTCCAACAACTCTTCAACTAAATTCACGTGATTCTCACTTTTCATATTCCCTAAAAAGTTTTGTGATACTTCTTTGAAGCTTGCCCATGCTGCTCTCTCAATGTCGTTTATGTCATATTCGAAATTATCGTCCTGAAATAAAGTCCGAATTTAGGGTCCATCGAAAATTCCTTCTTTCAATTTTGCATCACTTATAGCTGGAAAGTTTTCCCCCAAATATTTGAAACAGTTGCCATCTTTGTCCAAAGCTTTGACAAACTGCTTCATAAGACCAAGCTTGATGTAAAGTGGCGGTAGTAAATACTTGGAAGGATCAATTAGAGGTTCTCGAGTAACATTGTTAGAACCAGGATTCAAATTTGTTCTCGTTGGCCATTCTTTTTTAACATAGTGGTTTTTTCGATCGCGACTATCCCACAAACATAAAAAGCAGGGATATTTTGTAAACCCTGATTGTTGGCCTAACAGTAGTGTTGCAATTTTTAGATCACCACAAACTTTCCATTGATGTTCCGAATACTTTATTTTATTTAATACAATCTGTAAATTGTCATAAGTCTCTTTTAGCGTGGTCAAATGAGCTACTGGAATCGGTGCCAAAATGTTTCCATTATGAAGAAGCACAGCTTTGAGACTTCTCTTAGACGAATCAATAAAAAGCCTCCATTCATCGTCATTGTATGTGTTTGGTTTCAACTCATTAATCAAACCTTCCACATCTGAACAGTATACTAATGAATTTTCGCTCTTGAAAAATTTTCGAAACTCCTTCTCTCTATCACGATAAAAATAAGCTGTGGTGTCTTTAGCTAATAAATTTTTCTTCCTTAAGGCTGATGCTAAATGTTCAGCTTTTACTTTGGATAGTCCTAAGTCTCGCACAAGGTCATTCAATTCTAATTGGTTGAAGACTTCAGGATTTTTACTTTGACTAACACTATCAGGCACGTATTCTTCGTCTTCAGAATTGATTTCTTCGAAGTCATCATCAACTTCCATCTCTTCATCCTCATTCATCGGTTCAGAAACTGCAGGTTCTTCGACAACCAACATTTTTTCTGATTGCACAATTGATGTTACGTTGGCATATTGAATTTTATGTTCGGTTGTCGAAGTAAAACCTGTAACGTTCGTCATGCAAAAGTAGCAGTTTTTTTGACTCGTCGGTGCAGACCAAATCACAGATTTTGAAAATTTTAAGCACTGTTGATTTTCTGTCTGCTCCCAACAAGTTAGCATCTTGTAACACCGACTACAAACGGAATGTGGTACCCAAGTTGCTTCCCAGTTGGTAATTTGGATACCGAAGCAATCCTCATACGCCTTTTTCATTTTATTTGAAAAAGGTCTACGGTTTTTCTTTATTTCATACTCTCCACATACGTAACAAAAGACATTGGAGCTTTTGTTACATATGTGAGAGACACTTCTTGTCATATTAAACCCTTCAGAAGCCAAGTCACCCACTAATGAAGAGCTGCAGTCACTTGATAACGACGTCTGCGAGCCTGCTTTTTCACTCTGACCAGACGCCGATACTGGGATTCCGGGTCCCTGCATCGTAAAACACTTATTACTTGTGCCTGCCATGACGGCATACAAGCCGTTAACCCAGGGACTCTGCCAGACGGTTCTGTTGCCCGCCGTCACCACGTGGAGGTGCCCTGGTTACAGGCACAAGCATTCAAGCAAGAAATCAGGAATGTTAAAAATTGCGATGAAAAAAAGGAGTTCCGAAAATTCATCAGTGTACTGACCAGATATGAAATGTTGTATTGATTCATCTAAGATAAGTCTAAAAACTGTGCTTCTTCACAATGGAAACAATTGGCACTGACTTACAATTCGCAAATCGTATTAGATGAAATAAAGTATTCGGAACATCGATGGAAAGTTTGTGGTGATATAAAATTTGCAACAGTACTGTTCGACCAACAATCAGGGTTTACAAAATATTCTGCTATTTATGTTTGTGGGATAGTTAAAATCGAACAAATCACTATGTTAACGATGCCAAATGATAAGAAGGAATTTTCGGTCCCCGAACAGAACCTCGAATTCGAACTTTATTTCAATTACAACTTAAGGTTGCTTGATAAATCTTGAATTGCACATTTTAGATTCTTAATTTCTACACTTGCCTGAAAATCTTGGCGATTACAGTGACGAGTAAGGCGGAGGATTCCACCAAGACACCAGTGAAATGAAAACGATATCAAAAAAGTAGAATTAACTAAAATTTTTTAAGGATTTAGGTCAAAAAATATAAAATTTATATTCCACAGATCGGATAACATCTTACAGATTTTTTATTTTTATTTTTTTTTTTTTAATAATAGTATTTATTTATTAAATAGATAAATACATAATATACATATGCCCGAAGGCGTTTCAGTATACCCGACAAGCCCGGGTACTGGCTCTTACATTAAAAATAAACATATCTATTTCTTAATTTCCTACATTCTCTCTTTCTTTATCTCACACTTCCCTTTTCCTTTCTCTCCCCCTCTCACTTCCCCAGATTGTGTGTCCCGACTTCCGATTCTCAAATTTATTCTCCTGTAAATCCCGATTCCCTTCATCTCACTTTCATTTTTTTACTCTCTACTTTCTTTCTCCACTCCATTACCCATTCCAACCCTTCTGCCTTTTCCCCTAGTAGTTTGTCCACCTCTTCCTCCCATTTAGTCATTTCACTGCACCTTTTTGCTGCATGTTCTAATGTTTCGATCTCGCTGCCACAGAGCCTACACATCCTCTTTGCCTCTTCCATCCAATATCTATTACCCAGCCATTCATTTCCCGTCCTGATCCTTGCAATTTCCTTTTTTTCGTTTACTTTTAGGCCTTCTTCTCTTTTCCAGTATTCCGGAATCCCCTCTTGCACCAACTGTTCATACTCTTTAATGTATCTCGACTTTTTTATCTTCGTTCTTCTTTCCTGTTTCTGGGCATCTCTGTCTCTTTCTCTTATCTCTATCCATCGTCTTTTCTCTCCTACCCACTCCAGTTCTATTCCTAACGAGGACCATCCACCTCTGTTTAGATAATTTTCCCTCTCTTCATCTCTCGTTCTTCCGTCTCTCTTTACCTTTCCCCTTTCCACCATACATTTCCGCAACAAATTTCTATTTGCCTTTAGCCTTGCCTTCTCCTCAAACTTAAAGGCTCTTGCTCCTGCTTTCACTCTCAGCTTATCCATATCCAGTTCCTCTCTCACTATGTATCCCGGCACTTACCTTCCTATTCTCATGATCCATCTTCCGTACAATTCTTGTAGGCTTTCTACCTCCTTTCTTTCTGCCCATCCTCAAACCTCTGATCCATACAGCACTATGCTGGCCACCACACTTTCAAATAGCAGTTTCCTGAATCTCCACTTTCCTTTAAATTTTCTCTCTCCAATTCCCCAAACCTTTCCCATAGCTAGCTTTGCTTTTCTCACCCTCTCTTTGACATGTCTTTTTACACTGTTGTTCCTCACAAACATAAATCTCAAATAGCAAAACTCTTTTACTTCTTCCATAACTTTTCCTTTCCATAGCCATTCTAATTTCTTTTGTCTGCCCCTTCCCCCTCCTTTAGTGAATCTCATTATTTTTGTTTTTTCCACATTTACCTCCAGTTTCTTCTCTCTAAAATACCTTTCACACGTTTTTATCAGCTCTTTCATTTCCCTCTCATTATCCGCCACCACCGCTGTATCATCCGCATATGCCAGCGACCAAGTCTTCATTCCGCCGACCACTATCCCCCCTGCCTGTCTCCTCTTACAAAAGTCCTCTAGGTCTGCCACGTAGATGTTAAACAGCATCGGGCTTAGCGGACATCCCTGCCTTACTCCTTTTTCCGTCCAAAACAACTCTGAAAGTTTCCCTCCCACTCTAATTCTGCACCTTGTTTCCATGTATATTTTCCTCACCCTTTCAATTAAACCAATTCAATTCCTACAATCTCCTCTTGAAAATGTCCACCGACCTCCTTCTTTTCCACCTTTGTTACCGTTTAATACAATCCAACCCCTTTTATTAATCAGGTCCAACATCAACCTTCCTTCTCTGTTCACTACTGTGTCTTCCGACCACCTTTTTTCCCCATTGTTAATTTCTTCCACACTGGCCTCTCTTCCTATCCTCGCGTTCCAGTCCCCACCTATTAACAGCTCACTTTCTTCTTCTTCTTCTTCTTCTTCTTCAGTTAACCACTTATCCACCTCCTCTAGCAGGTCTCTTCTTCCCCTATCATTGTAAATGGTAAAAATATCCCAGGTTTTATCTCTCACTTCTATCTTTCTTCTTATTGCACCTTTTCTCTTCTCAGAGATTTGGCCTTCTATTTCTTTCCTAACCCCTGACATAATTCCACCTTTAGCTCTGCCTTTTCTCTCTACCCTTTCTGCTGGGATGTGCTCCCAGCTCCACTCTGATGGTAGTTTGTTCTTCATTGCATTCCAGTCTTTTTCTTCTAACCATGTTTCCGTCAGACCAATCACATCAAACTGTTTCAGAAATTCCCAAAATTCTTTGTCCTTATTTCTAATCCCTGCCACATTCCAAAATACTAGTCTAATTCCCCCTTTTCCCCCCTCTGACTCATTTGGTTCTATACTCCTCCCCCTTCGCTCCCTTCTACTTCCACCAACACTTTTCTTACTCCGTCCCACCTGAACGCCACACCTTCCACCCACATCCTTCCAAACCCCACTTTCACGTTTTTTGCTCCTTGGTTCTTCGCTATCCAGGCTCTTCTTTTCAGTTCCTTCTGTTCCTCCCTCTCCTTCTTCGTTCTGTCGTTTTCGATGAAAATTTTCTTGCCTTTCAGCTTCGATTTTCTTTCCATGATCTTCTTTTTGTCCTCTGGCTTTCTCATCTTAACCCATATCATTTTCTTATCTGGACCTGGCTGCCCAACCTCCTCGATACATTCTTCATTGCTTTCCATCCCCAGTTCCTCCCGGAAGAATTCCGCTACCTCTTTCCTCCCTACCTTTCCTGTATTGCTCCATCCAAAAATAACCAGGTTATTCCTCCTTTCCATCTTCTCTTTGCTTTCTTTCTACCCTTCAATTTCCGCAATCCTTGCTCCCTCCCCCATCCTTGAGATAGAGGTAGAGATAGAGGTCCTGGCATCATTTTCTTCTACCACCTCGGCTATCAACTTTTCTTTCATCTCTTTTAATCCCTTTTTTATATTCGCCGTTTCCTTTTCCATCTTTTTTTCGCTGTTCTCAATTTTCTTTTCCATCTCGTTCCATTTGATGTTACTGGCCGACCGCCCCGCCTGATTCTCCGCCTCTATCTTCTCTATCTTTCTCTCTAGCTCGGCATTCTTTCTTTCTATCTTTTCAAACTCTGTCTTGAGTTCTTTTAACTGCTTTTTTCTATCCTCCCTTTCCTCATCTAGCCTTTCCATGATTTCGGTAAAACCCTAACTGATCATTGCTTCTAATCCTTCTTTCTTCCTTTCATTTACTTTCGAGATGAGCCTTACTTTATTCTCTCTTGCATCCGCTAACCCTTCTCCTCTCCTCTTTCCATCACTTTTCATCCAGTCTCTTATATCACTCAGGTCCCCGGTACTGTTTGCTCGGTGCAGTTTCCATGTCTCTGTAGTGGTCTTTCTTCCTCTACCCTTCAAGAGCTCAGGCGTTCCTTCTCCCTCCGTTCTTCCCTCTTCTTTTTCTTCGTCTGTTTTCTTTTCCCCCTTCTCCACTTCTTCTTTTTCTACCGTCTCCTTCATTTCACCTTCTTTCTCACCTGTTTCCATCGGCTGTGGGTGCAGCCCTACTCTCGACCACAGCTCCTCAAAATCATCTTGTGTCTCCCTCTGTGTCCGTCCGAGCAAACCTGTCACCTCTGTGTTCTTCTGAACCGACTCCTCACTCATCTTGACTCACGTATTTAACTCACCCACCTTACTCTTTACACCCCTGATCCACAGTACAAATCTAACCTCACTTGGCTTTTCGATTGTTTTAATTCACCAATTACCCCCTTCTGTCCGTCCACCTACACCAATTTATCCAGAATAAATCACCCTTTCCACCACTATCCCTTACACCTTCCCACAATTATTACACCTCCTTAATTCTCACGAATTTTCAAATTAAGTATCTCACTCACTAATCGCCCATGCAGCTTCAGTACGCGCACAAACGGAAGTCCGATTTTTTTTTTATTTTTTATTTTTTATTTTTATTTAAAAACTGATTTTTATCATAACGGACTTGATTTATTTTGATTTTCAGTGGTGTTTTGCCATTTATTTAGATTTTTAGAGATGTCTGAGCCATATAAATTCAAGATTTATACTCGACGGATCGAACTACATGAGAATCATGATTGATTTAATTTTATAAAATTTTTTTTAACACAATATCTGGAATTTTTTGCTTTTTTAAAGTGAAACTTTTATTACATCGTCTCAAACTTATTCGTCTGTGTGTTGCATGTCACGTGACGGTCGGCCACGGAGTAGGGATAAAGTGAAAGGTGCTCGTCAGAGCAGCCAAGGCCAATATGGCGGTGCCTATAGTTCGCATCAGCTAACCATGTGGCATTTATATTCAAATGCAATGTAAGATGTTATTTACTTCCTAAAAAAAAAAAAAAAACAAAAGGATCAAAAAGGATTCTTCATGTACTGAACTTTCATAAGAGGTAGAATTTAAAAAAATTTGAAATATTAATAGTTCAATACTTTGAATACTTTTGTATAATCAGAGCTTATTTTCGTTACTATGAAATATCAGTTACATTTTATAAACTAAGAGACTCATGGCGACAATAAAGCTATTGATAGAATAATTGAATTGGAAAGTAGATTTCGATACAATTAACAGTTATATCAAACAATAAATTCTTAAATGATCAGTGAAAAATCACACTTAATTGTTAATCAAACCACCGTTAGTTCTATTACACGGACTTATACAGCTCGTCTACCAAAAACTGGCAGAAATGGAAATTCTTATAATCTTAATAAAATCATCATTCGGTAAATGTTTGATAGATCAAATTAAAGACACAATTTTACCAACCATAAGATAAGTTTTAAAGAAAAAAATGGTGTGTATACTTATGTACACGAGTCAGAAGTTAAACTTCTTTGGCATAAGAAAAAAAATTTTGAAGAAAAAAAATGCAAAGATGATCGAAGAAAAATGTTAAAAACAATCAAAAAGGTTATATTATAGTAAACATTAAGCTATACCGTATATAGGTTATATTATAGTAAACAATAAGCTATACCGTATAAATATAAAATCATTAATTATAATATTATTAATATAAATAATATACTTCATATTAAATAGTATTTCTATCTAATTTGAAAATATAACAGCGTTTCGATGGATACTTTGCGACTACCCTGTAGATGAGCTAACTTAATCATGACTTTTACTGCAGTAAAAGAAATCTATTTTTTTTTAAATTATATTTGATGGCTAACTTCATCATGTCGTTCTTTTAGGACATCATGCGAACGCAGCTCAAAAATTTCACTCTCATCCAAACGCGGCAAAAGAAGTATCACTTCAATAATAAGCTATCATATTTCAATTAAATGTTCTTTAAAAATAACAAGACAGAAAATGCAACTTTCACTATCTTCAGAAAAATTTAAATAGCTATTATTTCTAAACTTATTGACCTACTTAGCTCATATTTGAACTTATTTGAGATAATCGTCTGAGAAACATTTGTACTAAATTTCATTAAGATTCGTTAATGACTATCAGCACAATCGCGCAACATCCCCTGGGCTGACCCATTTTATTTACCAATTACACCGGCACACAAAAAAAAAAGTTGTCATTACGTTTGGTGGGACCCATATATCTCTATGTATTTCGACCCGCTGAATCCGAATTTGAGGTCAGTTTGACCCGTACACCGTCAAATTTTCGAGAATACTTGAAAAATCGAAAAAAATGACGAAAATCGGCAAATTAGGCGATTTAAAATGATTTAAAAATTTTTTTTTGATCTAAACTAAGCATGATTTTTATGTATTTCGACCCGCGTAATACTTATCTGAAGTATATTTGGACCATAAGCCATTAAAAGTTTGAGTAAATTCCAAAAAAACCCCGAAAAATTGCAAAAAAAGCAAAAAATAGTAAAAAAAAATTAGAAAAACGGTTCACCCTAAAGGCCATCCGTGCAACTTCCCGCTAATTCCATTCCTGGGCGCTTAAAATTGTACTTTTAAGTAATGACATTTTTGAGATTTTTGACCTCAAAATATAATTTATGTGATATTTTGAGCACGCTGAGTTCAAAGAAATAATATTTCTATGCATTTGAGCTCTCCCAGCTCAAAAGTCTGATAGAAGTTTCATAGAACACTATTTTTGGAATTTTTAAACCGCAATAACTTTTGAATGAATCAACCAATTTTCACGCGGTTGACGCCATTCGACGCAGTATTATCATCCTCATAAGTTATATTCAGGTTTTAATTGATCGAATCGAAAATTTCAGAGTAATCCCGAAAAAACACTTTTTTCAGTTTTCTTTCGTTCACGATATCTCTCGAACGAATCAACCGATTTTGACAAGCTTGGTGGCAATCGACGTGGTTTTATGATTTTAAAAGCTGATTAGTTTTTGAAATTGATCGGTAGAGCTGTTTGAAAGTTATCCCAAAAAATGTCGGAGTTATGTTGAAAAAATCCTTATTTCCAAATATTTCGTCGAAGATATCTTTCGAACTAATCAACCGATTCCCACGTTTTTGGCGGCGATCGACGCGGTTTTTTAAGCTCTGAAATTATTCTATATCATCAAAAACGATCCGAGAAGAAATGACGAAGTTATGTGAAAAAAACACTTTTTTCGGTTTTTTTCGGTTTTCTTTCGTTCACGCTACCTCTCGAACGAGTTATTTGGTGAGACTTTTGTCTGCCTCCTTTCGAACAGGCCGTTTCCTGGGCTTAAAAAAGCTATACACGCACTTGAAATAAAACCCAAATCTCACAATAACAAAAGCACTGTAAACTCGCCGGGCAAGGAAAAACCCTGCCCTCCAGCTTTTACGCTATCACTGGACAGAATGTGAATGGAGTTGTATTTAATTTAATGTCAATCTGTCCTCGTAATTGTTCACTGTATCAAACCTCCCCTATACAACTCCATTCAACGACTACGTTGGCCTGGCCGGTAATATAATGACAATCCGACCAGTTGCCCAGCGGAGCCCATGCGGGGAGATGTAGCCGTAAGGCCTGTTGAGCTATAATATTTAGTTATCCCTGTATGTGTCTCGTTCGTTTGTTACTTGTCTACCGTCATCCCCATAATCTTTGAGCATACCTGCGTTGCCGAATACTTTGACAACGTCACGAGGCCTTACTCATGTACCTCTCGAACGAATCAACCGATTTTGACCGAATTAGCGCCGATCGGCGTGGTTTTTCAAGCTTAAAAGCGGATTAGTTTTTGAAGTTGATCGATCGCGCCGTTTAAAAGATATTTCAAAAAAATCACTTTCAAAAATTATTTTTTTCTTATTTTTTTTGAGATTTTTCAAAATTTCTCAAAATCTATCAGCCCGAATCGGTTCAAATTCTCAGGAAATCTAAGTTCGAGGGAACTCTTTAGAACGCCGTTTAGTTCGTTCCGATCGGTT